ACAAACAACCAATTTTTATGTGGTTCGACAAGTTGTCTATGTCCACGGGGCAAGAAGGAGATGGAGTTTTCACTAATAGAGAAGAAGAGTACAAACTGAGATTACAAATCACTCAAACTCACCAATTAATCTCACCAACAAAGCTCTTAATCTCACAAACAAAACCCTAACCAATAGCTCCAGAAAATACCTCTTTTCTGTGCTCCAAATATCCTCACAACAGCTCCGCAAAAACCCTAAAATGTGTTGGTATTTATACTAAACACCAAATCAATTTAGAACAGGAAACTGCAAATTTGGGTCTGACCCGATACGCAGTCGACCACGGCGCTCAACTGCGACAAATGACAGAGCCCAAAAAACAACTGGAGGCTTCGGCAACTCTAAACTCTCCGGTTTGGATTACTGGACTGGCGGTCGACCGCGGCGGTCGACCGCACAAAGACGTGAATCAAGCCCATGGTTTGTGCACGAATACAGTCGACCGGCCTTGCACCGCGGTCGACCACACACCGCTAAAAAACCAATTCCTACTTCCAAAACCTATTCTAAACCAATTCCTTCGCCAAATCTACAGTAACTGTAGAGAAAAAGAAGATACAAACCTGTAGTGACCACAAATTGTCAAGTTATCGAACACGTAAATGAAATTCAGAGGGAAACAAAAAGACAGATGTACAATATGAGCATGTGGGAATGATGCAGCAAAAAGATTGCCACAAGTAGTTTATAACCTCATCATGCTGTACATGAAAGTTATCAATGAGATTACTTATGAATCTTCTTCTCATACGTCTTTTCTTTCTTACAAGACATAACTTTCCTTGAAAGTTTTGCTCCCACTGGATTTCTTCTATTAATATCCATTGGACTTCGATGATTTGGTTAATACACATATAATCAAAATGAACCAGGAAGTAATAAAGTTAATCATTTGCATAGTTGCTCGATCAATTTTATTTCATCTTCCCAGCAGGCTTATGTTATCCATCTCTCCTATCAACTCCTCTGCATTTCATTTACATATTCATAAGCAGAACATCTGGAATAACCAGTCACTTAATTCTTTGGTCTATTGGCATCTACCACAATGCTTTGAAACACTAACTTAAGAATTACAACAGTGTTGATCGAGGTTATTGTACATATTCATGGTCTGAGAAACCTCTGAAACCAAAGAGCTGAGCTCTTGGGATATCTCTCTAGGTTCTTGTAATCCACATAATATAAGCCAAACCTAAGTGTGTATCCAAATGACCATTCAAAGTTATCGAACAGTGACCACACGAAGTATCCTTTCACATTCACCCCTTCCCTGCAATATTACGAACTTCTTTTTTAAAATAATAGCACATGGCGTGAAAAAACCTTTTAAGCCTTCAATTGACAGTTACTCAGCATTTTGAATATTTGATATACCTGATAGCCTTATGTACTGCATGTAGATGTTGTCTGTGGTAGTCAATTCTTACGTCATCATTCAAGGCATTCTGTAATACTAGTGATGCATCGTTGGTCTCATCAACACCTATAAGAAATCAGCTTGTAAGATTTCTTCGAATCACGCAAATTGTTGAAGAGGGTAGTTATAGCTAATTACCATTCTCTGTAATGTAAACAACTGGGTTATCGTATTTGTTCTTGATGTATCGAAGGAGTTCTTTTAGTCCAGGAGGGTAGATGTAGAGCCAGTCCGAGGCAGCCTGTAATGCATTATCAAATCTTACTTACTGTATATATAAACCAGAGAAATTTATAGTGGAATGTTTAAGCAAGTTCTGTAACACCCCAAATACTAGTCCCATATCGCGAAACTATGAAGAGTTTGAGTGGTTTATAAAGTAAGTCCAAAGACTCAAGTATAGTATTGACTAGTCGATTTTGGCAGTGGTTTGAGCCAAACAACACGTGAGTCCCACGGCTTACACCGCGCCAACAGGTGTTAGTCTCGAGAGTGTAGACCAAACCTGGAATCAAATCAACAAAGAAAACTGGAAAAACCCAGTTCGGTTGACCGACAGACCCAGTCCGGTCGACCGAAGTGACGACAGGAAGCGAGCGTGAGAAGCTCGCTCTGTCGTTCGACCGACAAGGATGGTCCGGTCGATCGAAAAACCTTGTAAGAAATGAACGTTCTGGCCGATCGACCGACACGAAGACTCCGATCGACCGAAAACATGTACGAGCAGACCCTGTAAAATTGACTCTCTAGTTGGTTGACCGAAGCCCTTGGTCCGGTTGAACGATGTCGGGATTTTGAGTTTCCTAATTTGTTTTGGAATCCGTTTTGAGCTGGGATCCTATATATACCTAAACAATTTTAGGGTTATGTGAAAACACGTGAAAAAGAGAGTTTTGAGAGGATTCTTTCAGAGAGATCTCGGAGAGATAAAAACCTATTTGTGGGCATTGTAATCTTCTTCAAAATTAATCAAAGAATTGTGTGGTGTGACTCCTGAGGATGTAGACACATTGTCGAACCTCGTTATATCTGGTGTGTTCTTTCTTTTTTATCTTTCTTTCAATTTTTCTTTTATTTGCGGTGATTTTCCTACTTGCTAAACTCTTAGCACAAGGTCCGAAAAGGCACGAGTTCAATTAATTGTTTCGAATCCCCAACAACATGCTCGCAGGCCGGGGGCGTCATAAGTTCTCCGTTGCATTATGTTTCATAAACAACATAACTAATTGATGAAACATCTTATATGATCAAGAGATGTTTATGAGTAGTAGTAGCATTAGAGTTAGTTACTAAACTACTAAATTATCCTACATAGAGCCATAAATTAAATATCTGAATTGAAAAAGAGGAAAAAAAAGAAAAGAAAAAGATTGTTCGCAATTGTTTAGTTGAACAAAATTTTGTAAATCCCCTTCTCCAAAAAAATACGTTGACATATGCCACCAAAATTTATGCAATGGTTTCTAAGCGTTTTTTAATGAAGGAAAGCATGAAAGAGGTACACACAATATAGACTGGCCATCTTCAACGTATGTCGTGCTTTTTACACCTTGCAAGTTGAGTACTGTCAAACGCGCCCAACCAACGCTTAAGCATGTGTCAATTAATGATTTTCAAATTTATTTTTAATTGGTTTATAATTCTTTGGATTTAGCTGATGGTTTTAATTTTTAAATGATAGCAAACAAAAAATTTACCTTAGGACCAATGGGAATCCCATGTCGCACACCTGTTCAATGGAAATTCAGGGCCTTAATTAAGATCTTCATTACTTCATAAAAAGTAAATGAGAACTAGCTTTATCAAACTTGTACTTTAAATTTTCTAGGAATAAACAATTAGAAACCTTACATCTTTCCCCTCCTTTACCGCTTTCTGTAAATAAAATATCGGTTTTTCTATAGAGTGCCCATAAACACTCTATAAGTGAGGAGAAAGATAGAAAGAAATGAATGAGGAGGGGATGTCCCATGATTTGCATTGGGATCCCCTTCTTATTCATTTCTCTCTATCTCTCTCCTCTCTTATAGAGTGCTCATGGACACTCTATAGAAAAACCGATAAAATATATATAGCAACGTTTATGATCCAGAAGAGTTCAGATTCTTTGATACTTTTTATAAAATATCCTTGAATAGCTGCCGTCAACGTTGTGCGTGTAGAGGACCGTTTTCTTTTTCAAAGGAATATTGCAATAAGGGGCTGTTTGGTTCGCTATTATAAGGGGTGGAAAACTCAGAAAACCCCTCCACGTCAGATTTTTAGCCCTTCACGTCAGCTTTTTTGTTTCCGTCCATTTCTTTGTGCCGCTTTGGTTCGCTCGAATGGAAGAGAGAAAACTCTGCTGAAATCGCCGCCAACTAAGATTTTTTTCCCTCTCCGATTTCCTTCCCCAACCAAGTGAAATTGATAAAAACTCTGCCACGTCAGATTTTTTTCCTTCTCTGCTTTGTTTACAAAAGTTTTCCTTTTTTTTATGCGAACCAAACACAAGAAAAATAAATACATTGGTTTCCCACCATTTTTTATGTGCGAACCAAAGCAAAACAATCTATTTCTTGGAAAAGTTTGAAAAACTCAAAACTTGTGTTTCTTTACATGGAATTGCATTTCTCTATATCAAGGAAACGAACCAAACTGCCCCTAAAAGAGAAATCTAAAGTTTTGTAGCTGAAGAGTTTATTAGGTTATTCGAAGTTGTTATTGAGGCTTTGCCGTAGAATCATCAAGGAAAAATCAGTTAGAGGACTCAAGAGTCATGAAAACCCTATAAATTTCTTTCAAATCACAAGTTTCACAAACAAAGAGAAATTAAAGAGAAATTGAGTCAGAAATAAAGGGGAAAACGTCGGAACAGAGGAAGGAGGAAGAAGGTATAAGCTTATAAAGGTGAGTTTTAATGGATTTAATTTGTTTTGGTTTCATGGAAAAAAAGAAGAGAGGTAGTAATACTTTCTACGGCTATCGACATCATCTCCGGCGACGTCTGAGGACCTTTGTCCATCCCGTAGCCGTGGGCTTCACTTGCGATGGCCACCATGGTCATTTAACCCACTCAAAGCTTTTTGGATTAGATTACACAAAGGATACATATCAAAGGAAGAAGAAAAGGGGGAAAAAATTAATATTAGCCCCTCTCCCAAGTTCTGCTTTAAAAAAAGGGGAGAAATTTTCAGAAAGTCTCTCATTACATTCACACCTAGAATAGTTTATGTTTTTATGTTTATAGGTTTGATCGAGGAGTAGATTTGAGTATAGTTCTCCAAAAGTATTAAAAAATTCTGAATATGAGTAGATTTCTTATCGTTAGTTATTTTTTAAAAAAATTTGGTATAAAAATAGTCTATCATATATAGCAATCTTATTTCAGTAAAGATAAATTGTTGGATCAAACATGTTATTTTTGTTTCAATCATAAAAAAATTTATACAAAACTTGATAATGAGTAGTTATTTATCTTTAACAAGATAAATATTATATAGTATGCAAACTATTAAAAATATGTTTTAAAGTTGTTGTTCTTACAACATCTACTAAAAAGATGTACGTTTGATAAATATAGTTTAATTAGTATAGATTCATAAACATTCTATTTCATGAAATTGAGAAAAGATTGCAAAGTGTTTAAGCATTTACATTGTTTTTTGTACAAGTGGAAATTGCAAGTGATGTTTTGAGTAAAAAGAATTTGTATAAATGTTTAAAATCCTTAGAAGTCCACTATAGAGTGAAACTATTGATGATGGGTAACCAAACAGTCAATATATATCCGAGTGAGATTGATTAGGGGTCGCTCACTTCTCCGAATATCTGATCTTGAGTTTAGTAGCTTTTAGCATGCACAAATAACAACTCTTGAGAGGATCAAGCATGGTACCCCATTGTACCTTCGACGATCAAGTCAGCTAGTGAATTTTGAGTGAGAAAATGAAGAACTATGTGAGTTCTTTTGTGTAGTGCAGTATAATTAGCAGATATTGCTTATCAGTAAAAGATCAAAAATCAGATGCCCCCCTAAAAAGTCGTCAGATCATATTGAAAGAAGATCAAGATCCAAAAAAGGTCCTTCCTCGTGTAAAGAATAGTACCTCTATTTGTAGTGGTGATGAAACAGGTAGAATCATTACTTTGGCCGAGCACAAGATGGTTGTAAGTAGGTATGGGCTGGCGGTTGTGTCAGCACCTACTTTACATGTGCCTGGTGATGAGTGGAGGAAAGATCACCTCAGCATTAAGTGAGAAGTGATCAGAGGCATGGTCGTCCTGTCGTGGTTCGATGAGTCATGAAGACTGTCGAGGCTAGATGTATGATACGCCTGCCAAGCATTAAATGTGACACCGACGTGCTGTCAGTGAGAGAGGCTCAAGGCTAAAGTCGTTATTTAGCTTGGTCAAGAAGTAACACCTTTCGAGTCGGCCTCACGAGGTGTCGAGTAGCTGGTCGAGTGGGCTCGTTGCGAGTCGTCTTCGACAAGAGGATTGACAAATACCGCCCTTCGAGTCGACCTAAGAAGATGTCGACTTGACGGGTCGTCTACGTCGGGATCCTTGGTTGCTTTGACCATCAATCTGGTTTGAGTGGTTCATGTAGGGGGACACCTGTCCGTTGTTGGCAAAGATCCGTACTTTGGTGACTGAAAACACTGTAACAGAAGTGATTTGTTTAAGCCTATCATATGGTATAGATTGTATTGACTAGTGTTAAAGTGGATTTTTTGGCAAAAAGTAAAGTGAAATTTGGGGAACCTATAGTAGTGTTAGGTACATTCTATCCTCGAGTTGACCTATAGTGATTCGATGCGTATTCTCATGCTACTAAGCTGCAATTTTCATAGCCTTACTGTGATAACTGAGGAAGTTTGTAAATGTGAATTTAAATCTATAATTATAGTTTTAAAAGTATTTAGTACTCAATTTATATTGTTTCTTAAAATTTGTGAATATTCTTTCATGACACTATCACATGCTATTCATGAAAGTTTCTCTTGTTCAAAAATATATTCCTCAAATTTGTTCTCTTTGATAATAGGTATTTATATTTAATATTGAAGATCTTTTATAAACTTGTCTGGTCAGTTATTGATAAGTTACATGCCCAATGAGTATAATCTCACCCTAATATTTTCAAACTTTTTCATATGAGAATTACACGACTTTATCTATGGATTGAAATTTTGGAGATATGAGCAGGATCTAGTAGAGTGTGTTGATGCTGAAAGTTTATAATTATTTTAAGAAAAGTATTTGGGTTTATATAATAAGAGTTTTTTGACTCACTAGGGTGATCTTATTATGATGTAGATTTGCTCTGAGACTTCTATGTATCAATAGAATTTCCTTTAAAGTGAAGTTTTATTTGAATTATGGAAGTGAACCGCAGGCTAGATACATGTTTTACACATGTCACCATTGTCATCCATCCTAAATTATGCTGTGCATCTAGTAGCGTGACAAGCTGTGATATAAGAGCTTAGGTTAAGATGTCCTAAGCTTAGAAGTTTGTAGTTAATAATGTTTAGACATAAGTTTTAGAGTTGTTTTTAGTGATCATTGACATATAACAGCATGAGCACTCTTTCAACTTGGAAAAGTGATTTGCACTAGACTTCAAGGCAAATGCTTGGTAGTTGAAGTGCACATAGATCTAGTTCTAGAGGGAATCAAATGGATACAAATGCTATGTTGCAGGTGATACAAAATCTCACCATTGTGATGCAAAATTAGCGACAACAAATTAATCAACAATAAAACCTCGTGACAATGATCATCCACGAATATGAAGTGGTATGACGGAGTTTAAGAGGCTAACACCCTGTACCTTTGAAGGAAGTGTTGATCCTATGGTAGCTGAAGATAGGATTACAGAGTTAGAGAAAGCCTTTACTTACATGAAGTATCTTGATGGAGAAAATGTGGCTTATGCAATCCATACATTGAAGGGACATGCAAATGGCTACTGGCAAATGCAGTAAAGGATTCTGGGAGATGGTACTAACCATATATCTTGCAACGAGCTCAAGAAAATCTTCTATGAGAAGTATCTTCCAAAGACTATTCGCTAGCAGAAGGAGAAAGAATTCCATAAGCTGAAGCAAAATGATAAGATTGTAGTTTAGTACAAGGAAGAATTCACTTATTTGTCCAAGGTTGCACTCTAGTTTGTTGCAACCAAAGAAAGTAGTTTCAAGGAGGTCTACAACCTGAGATAATGTTTCAAGTGAGCTTGTTTGAACTTTTCACTTACGTCATGGTACTAAAGAAAGCTTTTGTGATTGAGAAGGAAAGAAAAGAAAATTTCTCAGTTGATGGGTACAAGAATAATGATATAAAGAAGGGGTTCGGATTGGATGGATATGGAGGTAATAACAAGAACTAGTAAAACAAAAGCCAACATATGGATTTAAAAGGAAAGCAGACTATGAACCAAAAGTCAATGAGATACACCATTTGTGAGAAGTCTAACCATGATGTGAAAAATTGTTGGAGGGTGATTGGTGCTTGCCTAAGGTGTGGCCAAAAGGATTACAAGATTGCAGATTGACCAAAGTTGAATGAAACTTTGACTCGTAAGGCACCTTAAAGTGACTAGCATCATCAAGGTAAGGCTCAAGTTTACTCTCTAATCGATCAAGAGGCTTAGGTAAATAATGATGTGGTGTCAGTTATCGTACCTTTATATTCTTCTTTTGTTTAAGTAATCTTTGATTCTGGAGCTTCACATTCTTTTATTGCTGCATAGTTTGTTAGAAAGCAAGATTTTTCATATGATACACTAAAGCATAAAATGCATGTTAACACACTAGGTGATAACATATTGATATCTAATAAGTATTGCAAAAGTAAGATAAAGATAATAGATAGGGAGCTTCCGACGGAATTGATCATTCTTGATATGCTTGATTAGAGCATATTCTAGGGATGGATTGATTATCTAGAAATTATGTATCTATTTTGTGTCGAGAGAAGAATGTGGTGTTTAAAATTCTTGATCAATTGGAATTTTGCTTGGAGAGCGGTAACGTGAAAAGGCCTGTGCGCATTATACCCGCCTTTCAAGGTCATCGCATGTTGTGAAGAGGGTGCATTGGTTTCTTAGCATCAACGTAAGTATTGAGCTAGAAAGAAGTTAGTCTGGCCCAAATTCTTAGTTTGTGTGAATTTCCAGATGTCTTTCCAGAAGATCTCCCCGGAATGCCACTAGTAGGGAAATAGAATTTTCTATTGAACTGCTTCTAGACACAAGTCCAATCTCAAATGCCCTTTATAGAATGGCTCTAGCAGAATTAAAGGAACTTAATAAGTAGTTGCAGGAACTTCTAGTAAGAGGTTTATTAGACCTAGTATTTGTAAAACCCCATAAATTCAAAAAATATTGTGATATAAAGTCGTAAATGATTTTTATCATGTTTGATACTTGTTATGGTAATTCACCATCTAAAGACAAAGATATTAAGAAGCTATGTCCTCATAGGCCCAAAAAAGGAGCTATGGCCCAAAGCCCAGCTAATGACAAATCTATCGACCAACCGAACGAACGAGTCATCCTTACCGATACGAAGTGCAGGATCAGTCGACCCCTCACAATCAAGACGACCCCTCAAGAGTCCACCCGCCCCATGATTGAGATGACTCCTCAAATAATCAGCTCGACCATTTACTCGGTAGTTTACTCGGCCAGAAGCTCGCTCGACCATCTATTCGGTAGTCCACCCGACTCGTCTCTGCTAAAAGGATAAGATCCAATTCAGACACTATAGTGCTGATCCGTCCTATCAAAGTCACAATTCTGACAGATCTCGGGAGAAAACATCTTATTCTGCTCACAAGTCACTTCTCAGAGATTGTTGAAGATATTTTCTTCTACACTTCGAATGACTTCCCTCCTAGTCGCCAGTCGACATCTGTAAAGCCGAAGAAGACTAAAGCAACCGGCCTGTCTTCTGCCATGCCTCATCTGTCAAATTCGGGATCTTACCAAAACAGTCTTGAAGGGCTCCCCTCCCAGTCGCCAGCCGACACGTAGGGAACGAAGGGTGAGTCAGCCTCCAGCTCACCCCTCAACGCCGTCTTTCGCAAAATCGTAAAGTGACTAATCTACCCTTACTATAAAGGCAGATACTATTCGCCATAAAAAGTGATCCCTCTTTTTCAGGTTCTGCTTCTTCCTGAGAGAACTTTGGGGGATTATTTTCTTAATCTATTTTTACTAAAAGAGAACTAACGACTCTAAAAGAGTACCTCTAAAAAGACCACAATGGTTCCATGACTCTCCCTAAAACTCAACTCAAGCTCATCAGCTGACTTGACCATCGAAGGTACCATGGGGGAAACAAGCTTCGCCCTCTTACGGGTTCATTCTTCTTGTCTATGCAGAGGATTCAGGAATCCCCGTCCCATGATCAGGCATAAAGTCGGCGGAGGAGTCGACCCCGTCTCCCATCCTCTCTGTCTTCGTTGTTAGCGCAAAGATCTGGCATGCACCCCTCAGCAGAAAGCACTCATCGACTGTGTGATCTCAGACATTAACAATATTATTCTAAGATGAATGAGTATGATAGTGATCAATTTGGGATTTATTAAGTACGTATAAGTGTATATGGTACTAGATTAATAATCATTGTATGCATGATCAGTCGGAGGAATGATAGGACTAGTCAATCAATATGCTGATTACTATCGGTTGACCGATAGGTGCACAAGGCAGTTTCCCAGTTTGTTTTGGTTTTGGTTCAAATTGATTTGGTTCGGGTTTGTTGGTATATATATGAGTATATATACCCAAAATTCCTCTTTTTCTTCATATTTTCACATGAACAAAAGCCACCCTGGCCCCTAGCGGACATTCGAACCACCAAAGTTAAAGCAAGAACTGGTGGTCGAAGCATGCGACTCACGCTCTCCCTACAAAAATAAGGCTCCTCCATTTATAGGATGGTCCAATCATTACTATTCCTGGAACCCCCAAGGGGAAACTATGATCCCAATAAATTCCAGAAGACAAAGCATCAACGTCTGGGGTTTCACCAACAAGAAGACCCCATCACAAAAGTTGTCTGGCCTCCTCCTATTCAAAACACTGGCCTCCGAAGGCTCAATCAACAGGATGATGGCCATACAGGGTAACCAACGATGGACAAGCAAGATCTACTGAAAATCATCACATCCACCATCGGCCTACAAAGACCTCAGCAAAAACTCAAGTTCAGAAAGGTCATGGCTGATGAAATGGCAAATATGTCGAACACTCGGTGACATCTAAAGCCAAACAACTCACCCTCAAAATAGAGAGCAACATCCAACTCCGAGTATTCAATGACTGGCGACTTAGTGTCCTCAGTCGCACAACAATGAAGATAGTCAATACAGCGGTAACTCGCCCTCGTCAAAACATGAATGTTTAAAGACGACAAGGAATAACCAAGGAGGTTTGAATCGGCCCTGTCTCCTGTAACAAAAGGAACATCCAAAATACATAGGAGCAGAGAACAAGAATTCGACGCCATTCGAACGCTAAATGTTAATAAATTGCGCTCCATGATGTACAAATTCCCACAATTATTGAATTTTTAACAAAAAAACACCTAAGACCTAGTCACCTAGGCACTCGACTCCGCAGTCGATGACAAGCCCTTGGTACCTTCTC